CTCGCTCCAGAAAGCCACAACAGACGGGTGTATGATCACTGTTCAGAAGGAGCAACAATCAGTGATTCCTGCACTTCACAGGTCGCTGATGGCGGTGTGTTTGTTCTCTGCTCGAAGTGTGTTTGTAAGTTGAGGATTTCATGTGGCCGGTTATTTCGAGAGGAACTCAAGTTTCCCTTCCCCTATGATGCTCTCTTTGGGCGCTAACCGGGTTTGTTTTGTTTAGTTTATCTTATGTCAACGCATCATGTAACATTTCGCTTCTTATTAGTCTCTGGTGGTAGGTAGCAAACTCGTCTTTTGTACAAGGGTTTAAGCACACTCTGACTGGTCTTCCCTCATTTTTGTCTCCCAGTTACTATCAAACTTCTTTATCTTTCAGGAACGTAACGCCCGGGTCTGCTCGTAAAAAGTCCGCAGCCCCAAGACCACCTGTCCCTCCACCACCGACCTCAAGCCCTAACCAACCTGCTTTTAAACCGGAATCCACCGCTCCCACGATTACTGTGGATCCTGTGGAAGCTGAAGAAAATTCGCCACTAACGCCGGCAGGCAACGTCTTAAATAGTTCACCCACGATTGCGGTAACTTGTGCGGGTAATTCTGTTTCCATCCCCAATCTCGGCACTCCTAAATCACCCCAATCAAACGGACTGCCAGTCCTCAAAGAACAACCAAAGAGACCTCCACGTCCTGCATCGGTTTATCAGGCTCCGTGCGAACCCCACCCACCATGATGTGCACAGACCACTTTCATCCTCTTCCTCAAGATAGTTTTTAAAGAACACTTTTCACATCTCGTCCCAACCAAAATCTGATATTGTTTTTTTTATACGCCACGCCGTTTCTGTATTCCTTTCTCCAGTGTCTTTCAAAAGTCACCAAGCTCCACAGATTAGGTTGTTTTCATTTTTCCATCGGTTTAACCGTTTCAAAATGCACCAAAATGTTTTCTATTTGCTTGTCTTCGATAAATAGGTCACCGCATTGTGATTTTGGAATATCATTCCTCGCAAAACAAGTATTTCTACGTGTGTGTTTGATAGCAGTGGACAACCGCAACTTCTTTTTGTCCCGTTCGTACCACCTTATTAACTTCCTGCTTACCAGTCGCCACTTGCAAGTGGTCGGAATCTGCTCAAACCATTGCTTCATTGTCCTTACTTGTTGGTAACTATATTTTTCTAATTATTTTTGACCATGGAATTTGAATCCACAATACACTGTGTGATGTCAGTTTGCGTCCTCATTTTTTGAGATACGGTCACTGTTAGCGATTTTGCGGAATATAGGTAGCCCCCTTGCGATGCTTGATTGTTGCCCTGTTCGCCGAGCGTGGTAGTTAGATGGCAAACGTGTCATCACCAATCGAGATGATATCGTCATTGCGTGGTTGAA